TATTTTTTGGCCGAGCCTAATGGCTCGGGAATGCCCACGTTAAAAAAGGCCTTGTGCCACATGACACCCTCGTGGGGGTGACTGAATATCGTCAGTCGTTCACCTTGAATGACTGTTCGGTTTGAACTCTCTTCCTACGGGCGGGAGGAACCCGAAGGAGGCTACGCCGAAGGGCGGAGTCTCCTTCGGGGAGGTTTTTTCGGCCCAGAACCCGTTTATACGGGTTCAAATGGGCTTTTTTTTTGGCCGAGCCTAATGGCTCGGGAATGCCCACGTTAAAAAGGCCTTGTGCCACATGACACCCTCGTGGGGGTGACTGAATAAATAGTCGTTCAGTCGTTTTTGAACGACTGTTCGGTTCAACTCTCTTCCTACGGGAACTTGGGGAGGAACCCGAAGGAGGCTACGCCGAAGGGCGGAGTCTCCTTCGGGGAGGTAGCTCGGCCCAGAACCCGTTTATACGGGTTCAAATGGCTATTTTTTGGCCGAGCCTAATGGCTCGGGAATGCCCACGTTAAAAAGGCCTTGTGCCACATGACACCCTCGTGGGGGGGTGACTGAATATTGTCAGTCGTTCAGTCGTTCTGAGAACGACTGTTTGGGCTATCTTCCTACGGGAGGGAGGAACCCGAAGGAGGCTACGCCGAAGGGCGGAGTCTCCTTCGGGGAGGGTAAACCGGCCCAGAACCCGTTTATACGGGTTCAAATGGGCTATTTTTTGGCAAAAGCCTAATGGCTCGGGAATGCCCACGTTAAAAAGGCCTTGTGCCACATGACACCCTCGTGGGGGGTGACTGAATATCTAAAAGGCCAGTCGTTCACTTTTGAACAGACTGTTTGGTTCAACTCTCTTTACGGGCGGGAGGAACCCGAAGGGAGGCTACGCCGAAGGGCGGAGTCTCCTTCGGGAGGTAAATCGGCCCAAAAAATAATGTTTATACGGGTTCATTGGGCTATTTTTTGGCTGAGCCTAATGGCTCGGGAATGCCCACTTTAAAAAGGCCTTGTGCCACATGACACCCACGTGGGGGTGACTAAATAGCACCAGTCGCTCACTTTCTGAGCGACTGTTCGGTTAAACTCTCTTCCTATATATAGGGAGGAACCCGAATTAAATACGCCGAAGGGCGGAGTCTCCTTTTAATACAATTGGCCCAGAACCCGTTTAACGGGTTCAAATGGGCTATTTTTTTGCTTATATGCCTAATGGCTCGGGAATGCCCACGTTAAAAAGGCCTTGTGCCACATGAATCACCTCGTGGGGTGGGGGGTGACTGAATATTTTCAGTCGTTCACCTCTGAACTGACTGTTTGGTTCAACTCTTCCTACGGGCAAAAGGAACCCGAAGGAGCCTCGCCGAAAATTTTTGGGAAAAATGAACCTGTTTATACGGGTTCAAATTTAATCCGAGCCTAATGTAAAAATAAATTCCCACGTTAAAAATGTAATAATAACATCGTGGGGGGGATGACTGAATATCATCAGAAGTTCAAGTCTTTCAAGAGTTTCAGAGCAGTTTTCGTTCAACAATTATGGAAGACATTGGAATATTTGGTCAAGACTACATTGTTCTCTCTACTAAATCCGATTGTTCATAAAAAACCCTTTTGATTTTCTGTATATATTCCTGTTTGTAATATCCTAATTATTCCATATATATGTTCGAGTTCTTATTTATTATTCTGCCTTGGACTATCACCGTGGTACAAGGAACCGGAATTTCTTCTCAATTTACATATTTAGATCTTTTTGATATTGAGCATTTTATCGATAGAAATAGCATACGTTAAAATGTATTTTAAATAACAGTAAAAGTTGTTGTTTTTTACTTTAAATAAGAGAAAATTATAATACGTGTTTAAAACAAGTGAGGCATGATTATTTTATTAGAGGTTTTGTTATGACAAAAAGAAAAAAAATATTAAGTACATTGGGGTCAACATCCAGCGGTGACAGTCTGTTTCATGCTTAAATATAATTGTCATTTTTATTCAAGAACGTTTAAGCATGAAACAGTCGACATTCATCTATTGACGTTAATGTAATAATTATATATTTTCAAAGGGATCTATCCCTGATATTTTGCATATCTTAAAACTATATTTTTATCACAAGAAATTGGAAGTGAGTTCCACAGGTGAGAAAAGAAACTATTAGAATAGAACTGACAATTGCATCCATCTAGTTCAACAATAAACCAGTGAGACCTAACTGCCAATCCAGTAGCGCGCTTAAATTCATACCGTCGAAACACCAAGGAGGAAAGGTCGTCAGAGCAATTACCATGAAAATATTTGTAGAAAAGAAAGAGGGAAGCCACGCTACATTAGTAAGAATGTGTCTAAAGTCGATTGATTACATTACAGAACATTCTTTGAATATTTTGTTTTATTTTACATATCTCTAGGTAACATTGACATATTTAGGAAAGATATAATAATCCTGAACCTATACTTGTATTAAACCACCTGCATACGATTAAAAAATGAGTTCAGTAAATATACAAAAAAAAAGGGATGTAAGACAAGGATGAGTCTTCTCACCAGACTTATTCAACCAATGCAGTGAGACGATTATGAGAGAATTAGAAGTCCTATCAGGATTCATTATTGGTGGCTACAATCTTAATAACATAAGATATGCAGATGGCATAACGTTGATAGCAGACATGGAAAGTAAACTACTAGAACCCCTACAGAAGATAGAGAAGGAAATCGAGAAGAAAGGACTGAACGTCAATTGCAAAAAGACACAATATATGGTTGTTAGCAAAAGGGACAGTCGAACATGTAAATTACAAATTGGGGATACCAAAATCAAAAATGGGAAGTGTTTTAACAGGGGACGGAAAGTGCGACACTGAAATCCGAAGGGGCGTTGGGATAGCGAAAGATGCCTTCCAAAAGCTATGCAAAGTAACAAACAGTAAACAGTACATATACTGCTCAGCGAGTTTGAGTAAATATAGGGTGACCCCAAAAAACGGGAACTTTTTAACAATCCAATAAAACCATAGTAATTGAAACCTTAAAACATGCCATTTAAGAAACAATGATGGAATTTTCATTTTTTTCAAAAATGACGTCCTGTAGATGGCGTCCTCCTGTACGAATGCATTCTTGAAATCTGCTGTTGAGATTCCTTGTTGGCTGCTGGAACATCTCAGCTGGGATACTGTGAATTTCATCTTGAATTCTCTGTTTTAACCCATCCAGCGTTTTTGGTCGAGTTGTGTAAACACAGTATCCCAGCTGAGATGTTACCCTGAAAAAGTTGGCTATACATGAGGATTTTCGGCATCCGATCATCACTCATTCGGATGACATGATCAGGCCACCTGAACTGTGATTGCATCAGAAAGAATTCAATACCACCGACGCCACATTTGATGAAAAGATCAGGTTTAGAAATTTTTTCCTGTCTTGTATAATTGCATATTGAACGAAGGGAGCGTTTATGAAAAGCATCAAGATGATTGATGCGCGTCCTGTATTGCATCTACGATTCTGACCCATAAAAAATTGTGGTTAGAAAGGCTGTTCGATTTTTACTGATTATATATATATATATATATATATATATATATATATATATATATATGTTTAAAAAAAAAGACCACGTTAAGATTCCATGTAATAAACTATTTCACCATAATCCCTTTAACAGGGTTCTGGATCATCAGACTTTACTTCCAAAAGCTGAAAAAAAAAAATGAAAAGAAATTCACACGTTTTTGACGGACCTCATCAAGTATACATAAAATTAACGAAGTGAGGAAGTGAGGTGGGAGAGAGGATATGAGTATGTCATATGTATCATTTCAGTTTCCTATTTTTAACCCCAGTGTGTCGGCTAGATGTTGCTCAAATTTAACGCGTTTTCGTCTCTAGATATAGATGGCAAGGGGTGAATGATAAGAACGACATTAAAGGAAGAAGTTACAACAACCCCAATAAATTACACGACATATATATATATATTGTATATTTCAGCGTTTAAGACGCCCTATAAATCCCCAAAATAACCCTTAAAATTGGGGATCTGAAATTGGGTTATATTACAATTATAAAAAAGAAACCTTAAATTCTGTGTGATGTTTGTCGGTAGGCCCTAACCTCGGCCTTGAGACAATAACCAATAACGCACAGGAAAATATTGACATTATTAAATAAACTGATAATAAAAGTAATAAAACCATTTCTATCTTATATATCACTGGCATAACTTCATAATAAATTGCTTATTCGAAGAATAATTCTATATCAATGAAATCAACTTGTATCCATGCAAGCTCAGCTGAGAAAATGTAAACATCGAGTTATGATTGCGTTTACAGCAATGGTTTGTATAATTAGCGTACATTATCGTAGTGTTGTTAGCAGTATTTTGTGATTGTGGGTGAAGTATAAGTAAATGGCCATTAGTACACCAGGCTGTTTGTAACTGTTTAGAAGAAGAAGAAAAGGTAGTATTCGCAAGAGATCACGTGATGAAACGTAAACAAAACAATGTTTTCCCTTTTGGGAGACGTGTGTAGGAAAAACATGATATGGAATCGATTTTGATATTGATTTTGAATTTCTAAGAATACAATAAGCAAAACATTTCCAATAACACCATTTTCCTATAATCAATAAGCAGCCATCTTATACTTGAGGTACAGGATAAATTCATGAAAATTTGCTATACTTTTTGATCTCGTCTTATTTAAAGGTCGCCTTATACGCAGATATTTTAGGTATATATATGTGTGTGTGTGTGTGTGTGTGTTGCTACTAAAATATTGCCCGATCAATTCTTTAGAATGAAACTGCCGGAATGAGGAAGACATGATTACGTGAATTATATTCACAACATCGACGCCTATTCAACGCGCCTTCATTTACTTTTCATTCGTCTTCAGTATTTCTTGTATTGCTTTAAATGAAGCCTGGAAAACATTTGCTTCTCTGGCTGATTATTTATTTATTGTAAAAAATGTTTTCCTTTTTCTTTGCAGTGTTTTCTTTCTTTCTTTATTTCTCTTTTGGCCCTCGTTTCGGTGAATGTTTCCAATAAACTTAAAGGAGGCCAGTTTTATGTATTTTCATTGTGATATTTTATGACCAAATCATATAGAAATACTATGGCTTCGCGTCAACGGAAGCTGGTTCATTAATTGAAAAGAATTGAGACAGAATCGATAAAAGAAAAATCTTTTCAGAATCACGCCAACTCTTGTGGGTTCTGGAGTCATATTTTTTATTTTTGAATAGTGGAAATATTTAATCTGTTAAAAAAATCATCGACTGAACTGGGCCTGTCGGTTAATTAACTGATTTTGGATCAACAACTTATTTCCTATTTATATGAGAGTTACAATTTTTACATTATTTCTTTCTATTTCAGTTCATTTAGCCTATCTCTTTTTCTTTCTTTCTTTCTCTCTCTATCATAGTCTGTTCATATCTACCTATCTATCTATCTATCTAGCTGCTAGCTATCACAGACTATTTATATCTATCTATCTATCTATCTATCTATCTATCTATCTATCTAGCTAGCTAGCTAGCTAGTTAGCTATCACAGATAGTTCATATCTATCTATCTATCTATCTATCTATCTATATCTATCAAAGTCTATTCATATATCTATCTAAAAATCTATCTATCTATCTATCAAATAAAAATCTATTCATATCTATCTATCTATCTATTTGATCTATCTATCTATTCAGCTAGCTAGCTAGCTATCAAGACTGTTCATATCTATCTATCTTCTATCTATCTATATCTATCTATCTATCAAAAGTCTATTCATATCTATCTATCTATCTATCTATCTATCATCTATCTATCTATAAATCAAAGTCTATTCATATCTATCTATCTATCTATCTATCTATCTATCTATCTATCTATCTATCTATCTATATCTATTCATATTTATCTATCTATATATATCTATCTATCTATCTAATATCTATCTTTTCTACATAAATATCTATGTGTGCGTGTGCGTGTGTCTGTCTATATATATAATGAGACAAATTGGAAAAGCTTTTAACAAAATCAGTAGAAAATAAAAGCCCTAACAGCTGAATTTTATTTACGTATCCGAAATATATACGAAGTAATTTCTAAATAATTAATGGATTTTAAATAAAATCTGTTAAAAATTTATAAATTAATTTGTTTGCATTTTGAGATTAAAATTATATATATATATATATATATATATATATATATATATATATATATATATATAGCTCAAACACTAATATTCCATAGTTATAATTTTTACATTGGACCTACAAATTCAAAAAGAAATCGGAAATCGATTTTTTATTGAATTTGTAGGTCAATAAAAAACAAATTCTAAAATGGAATATTAGTGTTTAACCTTTTATATTATATTCTTACTATGTCCTGGACATTGAGTTCTACCTGGATTCTATCCTCTTGGGGAATATATATATATATATATATATATATATATATATATATATATATATATATTGATATATATATATGTTGTAGAGTGGTTTCACAGTGGAGGCTTGTATTTCACTAAGTCGGTCCTAAAATAGGTTCGACGTACAAAACGTTAGGATCTTGATATAATAAGTAATGACGCAGAGAAATCTAGTTGTGGTCGCTGATACTTTTAGTATCCGACTAACGGTCGTCCGACATCGACTGACTGTCCAACTCCGCGACTCAGCGACTGCTACTACTCCTACTTATTATAGGTGGGAGAGTCTGTTAACTACAGAATAGGTGTGTTCCACTATAACAATATATACATACAATTATTTATTCGAAAATTATAACAAATACTTATGTTATAATTTTTGAATAAATAACTATTTGCTCAACTCTGTATTGAGCTCTATATTTAAGAATAGTATTTGTTGGTTTTTTGGAATTTATTGCGTATACACCAATGTATGTACTTGGGCATATATATATATATATATATATATATATATATATATATATATATATATATATATATATATATATATATATATAAACAAAATGACCTCATCAAAAGCTTTTCTTCTGAATCCCAGTCTTCTTCATCATTCTTCATATTTTCACCATTATCGGAAGAATTTGATTCTTCCTTTATTTCTTGACAATTCAATTCATTTTGAATCACTTCTACCGTTGAATTCTTTTATAATTCATTAGCGTCTTCATTCATCCATTCTTTTAACTCATCCGAGATGAGAGTATTCAGTGGATCATCTTCAAGTGCAAGTATTCGTCTTTCGTTCAGATTCTACAATCCTTCTTTGTTAATTTGCAAATTCAACGAATTAGGAGCTTCGTCCAGTTTTTCGAAAATCTCTAATTTCTGACGTAACGTCAAAGAATTTCTTTTCCTTTTTTTTTCAGTTGAATTTAGATACATAAACATATATATACACACACACACACACACACGCACACGCACACACACACACAAACACACACACACACACACACACACACACATATATATATATATATATATATATATATATATATATATATATATATATATATGCATGTTTCGTTAAAAACGACCGACAAGGTACTACTGTTGAGCTTTTTTATTTAATTTTTCTTGTGTTCTGACAAGAGATTTCTTTTCTGGACAAAGAGTGTGTAAGAACTGTCCGAATGTTCTGTGTTTCCGAGCGCTTTCGGCTATACCTTTAGCCATTATCAAGGATGGTTCAATTATCAGCTTTTAAATCGATTTCACCCTAAGCAAGGCAGTAAAGCCACTAAGACACAAAGGGTTGTAGGATGTGGAAGAATTGGGGACAGAAACATTAATAATGAGCGGGAAGTAATCATGGAAATTTTGGAATCGGCAGGGAGTTCTGCAAGCGAGAAGTGTGTTAGCAGAGAATTTACAGTTACATCTAACAAGCTCAACTGTAAAGATCTCGACTCTCGACGCTAATCTCGTACTGCGCTTAAATTCATAAAGTCTATGGAGCAGAGCGAAGAGATCAATTACCATGAAAGTGTTTATAGAAAAGATACAGAGGCAAACTTACGGGGATGCAAAAGTGACTGAAGATGAGTTGCCAGATCAGGACCAATAATATTGCTGATTCTTCTTTGGATTTTATCTGGAAAGCTCAAGGTAAACATCAGGGGCACCGGACCATATGTGGCATTAATATTCTAAGCATGGGCGAATGGTAGACTTATAGATATGTAAGAGAGATTCTGCAGAGAAAAAGTACATATGATCTGCACTTCTTATCTCCTCTTACGTTCATACTACAACCTATTTCTCTAGCTTGCTGCATTGAGCGACTCCTGTGCCTTGTATTGTAAGATCAACTGTTAAAAAAGACAAGCCTGAATTAAAAAATGGTAGGATATGAAGGTAGCACCTAAATCCTGTAAAAACTTACATGTTACGGACACCAAATCAGCTACGCCGATCTAGGTGAAGTCTAAGGAACTCAAGAAGCAGACATATCTGTAATCTCTTGATGGCTTCTAATCTGTCACTCGGTTTATTAAGATGTAGAAATTAAATGTATACTTGAAGTTCTCGGCTGTCAGCTTTCCATTAAACCATAACTTTTTTTTCTCACTTGTCTTTGTTTATCGGAATATAAACGCCTAGATATTGACAAACAGCAGAGAAAACAGAATCGTCATGCAGAGTTCAAATTCTACTCGAATCTTCATGTTCATTTGTCTAAGCAAATATCGAACCTGATTAAAACATACACCAGGGTTTACCAAGTAAACTTCTAATGGTATTTAGAGCATTATCAATGTGAATAAATATGTAGTAGAAATCCTCATATCCTAACTTAGCTCACACATGAGGATGGGTTTAGAATAATTGAAACAAAACGAATAATTCAGTTATTATTATAATTCAGTTACTTTTTTCGTATTTTTCCAATGAAACATGATCCAATATACATAGTACTTCGTATGTCCATTCCATGAAATCGTTCCTTGTAGACTGACCACAGATTCTCAATTAGATTTAAATCAGGAGAGTTTCCAACCAGACGGTAGTATTTTGAGTTTCTCACGGTAAGGCTTTCCAGTGTGTTCGTGCCGTTTTACCATTTTCTTACGCTTCATTGGAGTAACGTCCATCGCAGACAATGGTCGTAGGACAACTAATCGACAGTCGAGACAATAATGTCTGGGCGTGATAAAAATCTGATGCAATCACGGATGAAGTAATATTTTTCAGGACCAAACAAATTTCATCACACACCCCGAAAATAGATTCATGTTACTGCACATCACTGCAAATGATCTAATCTGAGGTAAAAATATAAATCGATTACACCCTGTCAGTCCAGTGCGTCTAAAACTGACCGTATGGTGAAAGAAAGAAGACTAAAGCGGTTGTTTTAATTAATTTGCACAAAGATGTATAACTTACCAAAGCACAAGAACTTATCTCAATGTATGAAAAATAAAAAAAATTATTATTAAAAAGTTTAAATTTTGCTAAAAACTTTATTAACAATTCTGACGATGAATTTGAATCTTTACCAATATATAACAATTTTACTTGGGTTTAAAGTGTTAATGATAACTTTGATGTTCCTATGAGCGCATATGACTCTGCTAGATTTGCTGATTTAGTGGGTATCTATATATTAGACACTCTTAGTAAGATTATTGATCCTAAACAAGCAGGTCTTTACAGAGATGATGGATTATTTTCATCTCAGATAGTAATGTTCCTCTATCTTTTAGAACACAAAAAGAGATTATAAGAGCTTTCTAATTTCTGGGTTTTTATAATGAAATCTCACCTAACCTTAAAATAGTTAATTTCTCAGATAACACTTTAAACCTACCAACACATTTAAACCATTTCATAAAGAAAATCAAACTCCAATTTATATTAATGTCAACTATAATCACACTTACTCAATAATGAGACAAATCCCTAACATTTTAACCACAAGAATTAATAGATTATCGTCTAACAAAAATACTTCAATGAGAATAAAATAATTTATGACGAAGCCCTCATTTAAATATGCAGTTCGGACATGAGGGCGTGTTCGAACATGAGGACGTGTTTGGACATGAGGACATGATTGGATATAATGTAGTATGTGTAATATAACTATAACTTAACAAAGCACAAGAACTTATCTTAGTGTATAAAAAATTGAGTGTCTCATGAAAGTAAATATTAATTTGTCAATGTTAAATATTCACTAAGTTTTATTTGCATTGTCTTTTTTATTCGTTTTCTCATTTCGCTTACTATTTACTATTCTAGTTTTTTTTTTGTTCAAGTAAGGCATTTCTGCAAATTAAGTGCACTTGTACATTCTGTATTACTGAACAAATTTCTTTCTCCATGAATTTGGTAACTTCATCAATAGCTTCCTCTACTGAGTCCCACTTTTCATCTTCGTTCATATTTTTACCATTATCGGAAGAATTTGATTCTTCCTCTATTTCTTGACAATCCAAATTATTTTGAAGCGATTCTACCGTTGAATTCTTTTCTAATTCATTAGCGTTTACATTTATCCATTCTTTTAAGTCATCCAAAGTGAGAGTATTCAGAGGATCATCTTCAAGTACATGTTTTTGTCTTTCGTTCAGATTCTGCAATCCTTGTTTGTTAATTTGCAAATTCAACGAATCAGGAGGACGTGAAAGATTTTCATTTCTTTTCTTTTTATTTCCAGTTGAATTTACTTCTGTGCGAGACATTACGGTTTGAGAAATTTCAAGTTATTAACGATTAACTTCAAAGAAATGTAATATATTACACTATAGCATATTTCTACAAGATCTGAATGGCAACACTGAGAAGTTCGGATATGAGAACTTCTTCTGTATATCAAATCAATCCATTCGCGGTCAGAGGAACCATGTAGTCGGGGAAATTCGAAACTTCTATATTTTAAGGTTTGCTGTCACTCAGCCGGTTTAAACTGTCGGGTTTTTGAAAAGTTGTTAATTCAGCCATATAAACCCTTGTG